AGAGAGAGAGAGAGAGAGAGAGAATATTTTTAATATTTATTTTTTAGTTTTCAGTGGACACAACATCTTTATTTTATTTTTATGTGGTGCTGAGGATCGAACCCAGCACCCCGTGCATGCCAGGAAAGCGCACTAATGCTTGAGCCACATCCCCAGCCCATGCCAAGGTATTTTGTACAGGGCTGGTGTGGCAACCCTGTGTCTTGGTCCACTTTGTGCTACTACAATGTAATACCATAGACTGAATATTTTATCATGAACAGAAATGTGTTGGTTCACCATCAGGAAACCGGAGAGTTCAAGAATGGGGTCCTGGAATCTGGCAAGGACCTTCTTGCTGTGTTGTTCCATGGTGGAAGGGGAAAGAAGGTGACAGTGAGAGAAGGGGCTAAGCTTGTCCTTTTAAAGGGAATTCACACCCCCAATAATGAACTTAGTCCCTCCATAATAGTATTAATTCATTGATAAGGGCAGAGCCCTCCTGGCCTAATAACCCATAAAAGTCCTAGTTCTTAACCTTGTTATAATGATATTTAAATGGAGACACAAGTTTGGGAGGCAGCAAATATTTAAAACAGCGCCCTACAAAGCCCTGGGGAATCCAGACTCCTCCTTTCTTGCTGCTCTGCCATCTCCTGGTCATAAGAGGGCTGATGTGGCTGTAGCCATTCCCTTTAGTAGAGGAAACAACAAAGAGTGCTCTGGAGATACCACCCGGTGTTTCCACTTCCTCTTGCTACCTTGAGTATCATCTTAAGGGAGGCTGGGAGAGGGAGCTTTCCAGCAAGGTTTTGCTACAAGGATTAAGGAAGAAGACAGATACTAGAAAAAAATGGGCAGTTCCTATCAAAATATTAAAACTAAAGCTATAGAAGAAAATATTCTTATCCTTCAACATTCAGTAATGCAAACTTATTGATTACGGCACTATCTCTCCTAGAGATTCAAAGATCACCATGATGCAGCTCCTGCCCTCAGGATATTAAGTGTTCATGTCCATGGATGACTATATGGTAGAGGCACATTAGATTTTCACAAGGACAACTAGGATATGCTCCCTCTCTCAGGGTAAAGGCAAGGAAGGCTTTAGGGAGGCCATGGAAGAGATTTGGGAAGAGGTGGCTTCACTGATAATATGCTGGGCAGAAGCTGAATAAGATGAAAAGTGCATTCATCAGCTTCAATAACAGAGGATGTCTTTGGTGAGCTTGAGGAGCTCTGTTACAAGGGGAGTGGAAGGAATTGAGTCAGTGTGGAAGAACGCCAATGGTTCATGACAAAGAGAGAGAAAATATGGGATACACTAAGAGACAACTAAAAGAGCAGGGCGATGGCAGCTGAGGAGGTCTTGGATGGGAGAGATTTTTTTAAGGATAGGAAAAATATGAGGATATTTCAATACTGCCAAGAAAGTGTGGAGAGAAAGCCAGAGAGGGAGAGGGAGGGGAAGATTTCAGAGAAAGACATTATCCCCTGAAGGGGTATAAAAGAAAGTGAAATCTAATGCCAAGTCAGGTGATAAATAAGGTAGTGTTTGTAAAACTGAGAAATGTGTGTGGAGAGGATCTCTGTATTTTCTATGAAGCAGAAGTCACAGTTCTGAGATACAGGGTAAGAGTCATGAAGAACAGTGAAACATTTAACAATAGCTATTATTAGCAATGAGAAAGAGAAGGAGGAGGAAGAGGAGGAGAAGAGTGAAAATCCCTACTCCCTCCGTTGTCCCATCTGGATCCCCACCACTGAGACAATTTCTGTCATTAATTTCTTGTGTATTTTCCCAGAAATATTCTATAGCAATACATGCAAATATCTGTCTTTACCACCCTCCCATTTCACGCAATGGTGCGTACTATATAAACACTTATGTTGTTTTGAATAACTTAAACCTACATAGATAGACCACTACTCCCCAAATCTGTAAGTATCATCAACTCCTTCCTGTCCCCCTAAAACAAGGTATACACATTTCAGAGATGTTAATGGTCTTGTTTAAAATCCATAGTCGATTAGCAGAAAAATAGAAAATGGATTTCACATTTATATCCTTATGATGCATCTGGTATTAACTTTATAACTGTTCTTCCAAACAGAAATTAAATCCAGGAGAAAAATACACTTGGGAATTTAACATCAAAATGTGTGACTTGAACACTTCAACTATGTTAATCATTATGAAATGTCCTAGTGTTGTGTCCTATTTCTATTTTGAAACTGTATCAAAGGCCAATTGATAGTATAATCAGAAGATCCTTAGTTACATAGGGCTGTGAGGAGCCACTTAGATTGAGGGAGGTGACTTTCTTATGACTCTTCCAAAATTTCTCTGTTCAATGTTTTGTGAGACACAGTGATACTGCTCACTTTAGAGCACATTTTCCCTGTGATCTCCATTTTGACCTTACCAACACACCCTCCCAAACATCCTCAAAAAGCTGTGAGCTCTATCTGCTAAGTTTCTGTACTTGCTAGTTTCACTTGGAACTTACCCTAACACAATCTAATTTGGATAACTTCTTTATCTTTCCAAACTCATACTAATTAATTTTTCTTTCAACAAATACAAACTGAGTGCTGGTTATGATCCAGAAACAGTCAGCCCAGAAATTATAATGGAACACAAGATGGAAGAGGGAACTGGGTGTGGTGGCACACACCATGCCTATAATTCCAGTGACTTGGGAAGCTGAGGCAGGAGAACCATAAGTTCAGTCTTAGCAACTTAGCAAGGCCCTAAGCAATTTAAGAAGAGCCTATCTTAAAATAGAAATTAAAAGGGCTGAAATAGAGTGTCCAAGGGTGTAATCCCTAGTACCTGAAACAAAACAAAAACAAATATATCTATCTCTCTGTCTGCTGTCTCTCTCTCTCTCTCTTTCTCTCTCTCTCTCTCTCTCTCTCTCTCTCACACACACACACACACACACACACACACACACACACGATTTGTCCTCAAGAATTTCTAGTCTATGTAGAAAGTAGGTAATAAATAAACATATTAATAGAGACTGTTTGGGGTTCTGTGAAATAAATAAAGTGCTGGAATGGAGTGTTATAGAAATCTCAAATCCCATTTGAGATTGTTAGACAAAAATGATATTTAAGCAGAGGCTTCAAGGGTGAGAAGGAACGAGTCCTGTGAAGAGCAAGGAAAGAAAGTTCCAGATGGAGAAAAAGCAAGAATTATGGTCCTAAAGCAAGAAAGAGTCTTGATCTTCCTGGGGAACTAACAAAGGCCATTGTCTCTAGTGTGTTATGAGGAGGAAGGGGACAGAAGCGGATCATAAAGGGAAGAGGTTGAAGAGCATAAGCAGATC